GCACGATCGCCCCCGCTGGGGCCAGCGGCGGGCACGTAATCTGCTACACCTCCGCGTGTCCCTCGGGTATCCGTCGGCTCCGCTGCCGCCCGCACACCATGATACCCTGCTGCAGCAAGCCTAGCCTGGAATGGCCCTAGCTCGTCGCTGATCAGGTGGTGCCCCTGGCAGAAGGGGGCCGACAGCCCCGTGCCCAAGGCGGGCCGCTCCGCCTCCAGCATCTCCGCCAGAGGCCCGTGGCCGGGAGAATTAACTGTCACCACTTGCATCATCATGATGCGGAGGCGGCACAGTCTATCATACAGCACACCGCTGTTTCTTGGCAAAAATCGAGAGCGACTCGCCTGCCCTCTTGACTGCATCACGCAGCTCCTCGTCGTCGTCTGGTACCTGCATGTTGACCGACTGGAGGAAGGCCCGCAGCACCTCTGGGTCCCCGTCGGCGCGGGGGATCCAGGACGGCGTGCCAGGGGCGGCGGCTCCAGCTCCGTTGGCCGCCTCACCCGCGGGAGCTGTGCCTGGGGTGGCGGCCGCGGCCGCGGCCGCGGGGCCACGCCCCGCGGCCTGCTGAGACGCCGCAGCCGCCTCCGCCGCTCGGCGCTGCTGCTCCGCACGGTGGGCCGCCTCCGCACCGCGCACCTCCTCCAAGCAGCCGTGGAGCCGCGCCGCCAGGTCGCCCGACCCGCCGAAGGAGGCCAGCAGCTCGCCCAGCGTCCACGGACAGCTCCTCGGATGCGACGGGCAGCACCTGGCCGAGCGACAGTGTCTCGCTGGCCTGCGGCCGCGGCACCTGCGCCACCAGATGGCGGCGCTCCCCCTCGAGCTCGGGAAGCTCGGCGCAGAGGCGGTCCAGCGCCGTGCTGGCCTCCGTGACCGCCGTCTCCGCGGCACGCACCTTCTCGCGCAACGAGATGGCGTGTTGCTCCTGCTTTTCCTTGCGTTTCTCCAACTTCTGGTGCTGGAATGAGATATCCTTGAGTCTAGTGTCCAAGCTCTTGCCCGCCACGAGCCGCTTGCGCAGTTCGCTTTGACGGGCTCGCAGCTTGTCTCTGGCCTCCACGAGCTCCACACACGACGCCTGCTCCAGCACCGCGAGGTTCGCGCCCACGTCGGCCAGCTCCCGCTTGATGTCTGCGTCGGGCCCTTTTGCCGAAGTCGTCGACCTCCATGGCGTCAGGCCCGCCTCCACTTTGATGTGTCTGCTGGCTCTTGGGCCTGGACAGCTCAGCCCGCAACTTCTTGAGCTCTGCCTGGCGGCCGCCAGCACCGCCCGTTGCTCGAAGATTCGTGCTGGGCGATCCAACGACCTCCTTGAGACTTCCAAACGCCGTTCCGTTGTGTTCTTTGCACAACTGGCACTTGTCATGGTCCGCTCGACTCCACCACCGATCGCCAGTGCAACTCGACCAGCAATGCTTGTAGTACCAGGGCCTGGCCCATGCCATCCGCTGCCTTGTGTGCCCGTTCTGAGCCTGCCCCGAACGAGAAGCATCCTGCCTGGCAAGAAGTCCCATGAGCCAGCCGTGACGAGGGTCGGGGCGCGCAGGCGGGCACCTGCACGAGAAACGAAAGCGCCGAGAGGTTGAGTATGCTGAGAAAGTACGTGAAAGACTGTGAGGGCCGCTTACCCCTCGCGCCAATGTCAAGGTCCCTGAGCCAGCGCTACGGACCTTGAGCCAAAATGGCTACGGAAACGATAGAAATCAGTACGGAGGGAAAGCAGGTGAGCAAAGGAGCGAAGCATGTAAACTGATCCTGGCGAAGGACCCGACCATGTGCAGTTGTGAGTAACGCAGTTGTGGGTATCGAACTCGGTGGTCCTCTCTCTGGGGCCACGGCGCGTGTGACGGGTATGCCAAAATTGACACGAGTACGCCATACGGACGTTGCCACCAGAGCCGTCGGTGGAGCCGCATGTGAGGCCACGAAACGTGTGGGATGCTCCGCAATGCAGGGTGAACCGCGTGCGGGCGCTGCCACTTGGGCCTTTGGCAGAGCTCCCTATGGGGACACGAAGCGTGTGAGGGGTGCGCGGAAATGAAGGATGGAACTGCATGCAGGCGCTGCCACTGGGGCCCTCGGTGGAGCACCCAATGTGGCCACGAAACGTGTGAGTGGTGCGACGGATTGGGGGTGAACTGCATGCGGACCCTGTCACTGGGGCCTTCGGTGGAGCTCCCTATTGGGCCACGAAGCGTGGGAGGAGTGCGACGAAATGGGGGGGTGGAACTGCATGCGGACCCTGCCACTGGGGCCTTCGGTGGAGCACCATATGGGGCCACTAAACGTGTGAGGGGTGCGCCGAAATGGAGTTGGAACTGCATGCGGACCCTGCCACTGTGGTCTTCGGCGGAGCACCCACCCCATAGGGGCCACGAAACGCGTGAGGGGTGTGTCGACATGCAGGTGGAACTGCATGCGGATCTGCCACTGGGGCCTTCGGTGGAGCTCCATATGGTGCCACGAAACGTGTGAGGAGTGCGACGAGATTGGGGTGGAACGGCGTGCGGGCCCTGCCACTGGGGCCTTCGGTGGAGCACCCTATGGGGCCACGAAACGTGTGAGGATTGCGCCGAAATGAGGTTTGCAACTGCATGCGGACCCTGCCACTGGGGCCTTCGGTGGAGCACCCTATGGGGCCACGAAACGTGTGAGGGGTGTGCCGAAATGGGGGTGGAACTGCATGCGGACCCTGTCGCTGGGCCTTCGGCGGAGCGCCCTATGGGGCCGCGAAAAGCGTAAGAAGTGCGCCGAAATAGAGGTGGAACTGCATGCGGACCCTGCCACTGGGGCCTTCAGAGGAGCACCCGATGGTGCCACGAAACGTGTGAGGAGTGCGACGAGATTGGGGTGGAACTGCATGGGGACCCTGCCGCTGGGGCCTTCGGCGGAGCACCCCATGAGGCAACGGAACGTGTGAGGAGTGCGCCGAAATGGAAGTGGAACTGCATGCGGACCCTGCCACTGGGGCCTTCGGTGGAGCACCCTATGGGGCCGTGAAACGTGCGAGGGGTGCGCCGAAATGGGGGTGGAACTGCATGCGGACCCTGTCACTGGGACCTTCAGTGGAGCTCCCTATGGGGCCACGAAGCGTGTGAGGGGTGCGCCGAAATGAGCATGCGAGAGAGCAGAGGCAGGGAGGAGAGGAGGGAGGAGGGGGAGGAGGAGAGGAGAGGAGGAGCGCGGGGCGCTGTCCCTTCAAAACGAGGACCCAACACCACAGGATGGTTGGGAACAAACGATACATGGTGAACTGTCCTACCGTGGCTAACAATAGCCATGCGGAGAGCACGACGCTTCTCGTGCAACAATCCTACTGTATACTTGTGGCGACTACTCAGCAAGAACTCGCATTCGCACACTTACACTGTTCTACTGTGGACGCGCACACACCCCAACGTACCGAAGCATGCACCCTAAAAACTCCCCGACGCACACCAACGGCGACGGCCACGAAAATCATCCTGGCGAATGACCCAACCATGTGCAGTTGTGAGTAACGCCGTTGTGGGTATCGTCCTCGGTGATCCTCTCTGGGGCCACGACGCGTGTGACGGGTGTGCCAAAATTGGCACGGGTACGCCATACGGACGTTGACACCGGAGCCGTCGGTGGAGCCCCATATGAGGCCACGAAACGTGCGAGGGGTGTGCCGAAATGCAAGGTGCAACCGCGTGCGGGCGCTGCCACTGGGGCCTTCGGTGGAGCACCCTATTGGGCCACCGAACGTGCGAGTGGTGTGGCGAAATGGAGGTGCAACTGCATGCGGACCCTGCCACTGGGGCCTTCGGAAGCCCAGACTATGGCCACGAAACGTGTGAGGGGTGTGCCGAAATGGGGGTGGAACTGCATGCGGAAACTGCAACTGGGGCCTTCGGCGGAGCACCCTATGGGGCCACGGAACGTGTGAGGGGTGCGCCGAAATGGAGGTGCAACTGCATGCGGACCCTGCCACTGGGGACTTCGGAGCAGCACCCTATGGGGCCGCGAAACGTGTAAGGGGTGCGCCGAAATGGGGGTGGAACTGAATGCGGACCCTGCCACTGGGGCCTTCGGTGGAGCACCCTATTGGGCCGCGAAACGTGCGAGGGGTGCGCCGAAAGATAGGTACAACTGCATGCGGACCCTGCCACTGGGGCCTTCGGTGGAGCACCCTATGGGGCAACGGAACGTGCCAGGAGTGCGCCGAAATGGGGGTGGAACTGCATGCGGACTGCCACTGAGGCATTCGGCGGACCACCCTATGGGGCCGCGAAACGTGCGAGGGGTGCGCCGAAATGGGGGTGGAACTGCATGCGGACCCTGCCACTGGGGCCTTCGGTGGAGCACCATATGGGGCCACTAAACGTGTGAGGGGTGCGCCGAAATGGAGGCAGCGGGAGGGAGGGAGGAGGGGGAGGAGGAAGGAGTGACGCGCGGCGCTGTCTCTTCGAAACGAGGACCCAACACCACAAGATGGTTGGGATTACAGGGCTCCGCGCTCTAGACACACAGCTGTGCAAGAGAACCAAGAATGGTAACTACTCAAGACTTTGGACCCTGGAGACGCGGATTTCCAAGCCCGATTTGCCTTGTGCACCCGTCTCTGTCAGAGGACCGAGAGCAGCGGCAGTTCGCGATAGCCCAGCGAGGCCCAGTGGACGCATCGGCCTAGGATGGCGACGTAGAGAAGCAAATCAAACGCGGCCCTGAAGCAAGGCGAGCCCATCCGCGAAAGCCCGTCAGGTCGCATGACATCGCGATTGCAGTCGTGCGCGAAGGGTAAAGAAGCCGAAGAAGGGAAGGGTAGACGTCTAAAGAACTTACTCTGGCGTTGTGATCCGTGCATAGCTTCCACGAGCGATCCCATCCTCAGGCAAGGGCTATCCAACAGGCCACTACCAAGATTCCGACGACCATAGCTAAATTCACATGTCGCATACTGCGCCTCGGACTTCGTAAGCCGTGCCTCTGCCTCCCACCACCACGCCATCCTTCATATTCTCCCGTCGCTTGTCCACCTGTGACCATCTCCGTCATCTGCTCCGGGGTGCAATCATGGAGGTCTGGGTCATCGAGCCACCATTCTGGCTCATACCACCCAAATACCATAAAGATTGTGTTGACCAGGCCTCGTTTGTAGAACCTTAGCGTGGCCAAAGCCTCTCGCAAATGCAGCAGGAGGTTATGATAGGTGACAGTCGAGCCAAATCATCATCAGTCGTAGTCTGGACTCGCAAGTAAAGGCTCACATGCCGAACACTGCTGTTTTGTCAAGCTCATCATCCAAGTTAAGACGCTGACGGCCCGGCCTTCACGTATGCAGTCGCGACTATTTTTCGGTTAGACTCCAGACCCGCGGAGCTTAGATAGCACCGAATTCGTATGGATATGTCATGCGTGCTCTATTATCTGAACTTGTTAGACGAAACATCACAGACGCTGAACTGCGATTAGCGAGACCCTGTACAGAGGCAAGACGACGACGTTGTGAGCTGTGAGAAAAGCAGATCGCCAAACCAGTCATGCACACAGGTTCTCACGAGACAAATCAATACGAAGTAAGACAGAAAGAGAGAGAGAGAGAGAGGGAAAGAGAGAGGGAGGGAGGGACAGGAGAGAGAGAGAGAGAGATTAGAATCTCAGGGTTAGCAATCGGCAGTGACTACCACGCTTACCACAGCAACACAGTGAGGGGGATGAGAAAAAAGGGGGAGCGAAAGAGGGGAGGAAGAAGATCGGACGGAGAGACAAGGCAAAAATGCAGGAGACGATTGCATCAACAGCCACGCCATGACAAGAAAACGGGCGCACCATCCCTGACTCACGGCAACGGCACACATGCTGTCAACGGCATACATGTATGATCCGACACTCCGTGATCAGAGACAGGTTGGCGCCCGAACGGTCTTGAGTCTTACCCTCTCCTCCCTGTTCCTCGGAGGCCTCGGCTATACGCAGGCTCCTGTTCCTCTGGTCCCTTTCCCACTTCGCCTGTCTTCCTGCTCCTCTCGCCTCCCTCTCCTCCCTGTCGGCCTGCCCTGGCCCTGGAGGGGTTCGGGGTGACTGGGGTCGTTGCATAGCGGGCCTGAGGTCGGAGGGCGCTCGTCATTGTGGGAGGGGGTGGCGGGGGGGGGATCCTGCATCTTCGGCAGCCCAGCCTGCCCCGACCTGCCGGATCGAGGGAGGCAGGGGTAGGCAAGGTAATCGGAATCAGAATGGATCGCCTCGCCTGAGATCCTCCGCCGCCTCTTCGGCCGCCACTCTGCCCCGACCCTCCGCAGGTCGGGGGTGCCTGGGGCTGGAGCCGCGGAACGGGCTTCTAGCTCGGAGTGAATCCGTCGTGCAGGGAAGGAAGATCCTTGAGAGTAAGGGGGGATGCCAGGCTTCGGTTATCCCCTTGCACCCTGGCTCGATCTGGCCCGCTGTAGGGCAGAAGAGCGGGGACACGGGGTTAGCAGAAAGTGGTCACCAATGTCTTTCTTCCCCGAGACCATCTCTCCACTGTCTCTGGCCGCACGGTCTCCCCAGACCGCCCGATGTCTGGGGAGCCTGGGGTCGTTGCGGTTGGGGGATTGTCTCGGCAAGGAGCGGATCTGGTGCTCACCGCCTACCACGCGGGCAGGCTGCGGCATGCCCTGCACGGACTGGCTGGTTGTCCCCGGGGCGGATCCTTTCTCAGAGCTCCTTCCTTGCATCAGAGTGCGGCTCGTCTGGCACCTCTCTGGTGTGTGGGTGTTTCCCCGCTTCATCTGCCCCTCCTGACTGCAGGCCCCAGGGGCAGCAGCAGAGGTGGATTCCCTCCCACCCACCAGGAGGAGGGCCCGGCTAGAATGCAAGGCGAGGCCATGCCGAAGAGGGTCCCCCTCACGGCTGCCCTCCAGCAGCTGTCCCCGCAGCGCCCACTCCCCGCCCACTGTGGCCGCCATCCATCCTGTGCGCCCGTGCAGCCCATCATCTCTTCAGCAGCTAGCAGGAGGAGAAAGCAAGCGATGATAATGAGGGAGGGTAACTAGTAGGGGAGAGTGGCGAAGGGAACTACTGTTGCGCTCTGCACTTCGCATGGCATCGCATGGTGCGGGGAACTTACGGCTCCCCTTTTGCAATAGATGAAGGGGTTGAATGACAGAGATGGGTCCTTGGGATGACCTCATGCTTTTGAAAAGAAAAAGATGAATGTGCTCCCCAGAAACTGCTAGGGGCGCGACTCACACACCGTGATAGCACCCCTTTTCTGATACATCGCCAGCAGCACCATGCGGGTCGGGTTGTGCGCCACGGACTCAGCGGCGTCAGCCGCAGCCGCTGTAGAGTCCTGCATCACCTGAGCACTGTCTGCCTCTACTCCCCAACTTTATCCCCTGGCCCCACGCAGTGCATCAGCAAAGTGAGTGCACAAAACAAAGAGGTTCAAACTGATATTGCATGCGCTGCTTCGTGAAGAAAACAATGCGCATGTACAAGTGCAAATGATCAATTGACGCACGGCTTATGGACACCTAGCACCACTAGACTATCACAGCCAAACACGTGTCCCTGCTTTGACAGAGGTTCCCTCCTAACCCCCCTGCTCCACCACATCGCCATCCTCCCGTTCCTCGTCCTCTCCCTCCTCCTCCACCTCCTCCTACTCCTCCATTTCCTTCTCCCGATCCCCCTCGTTCGCCTCATCCTCGTGTTTCGCACTCCGTGCGCGGGTATGACAACATGACCCACCAGCCCCCTTTTGTGGGGCCATCAGGCTGCGCGAACCAGGCTTGCTGCTCCCTGCTCCACTTCCAGTTTCAAGTCTCCAATGATATAATATTTGTCCAGTTCCTACTGTAAAGTGTTACTGACCGCGCGAAGGGGAAGCCCCAAACCAGTTTTTCTCTCCAGGCCCAAATCGCGTGTTCTGAATTCATGCGGGGCCGTGGGACACGTAGAAACATATCATACTCGCACCCCCGAGGCCACGATCCCTCGTACATTGTAAAAAAAACTCGCTTCCCCGAAGCTACGATTACGATTTCGAAGAAAATACGCGATGCTCGCGCTTCCGAGGCCACGATCTTTCGTGAAGTACCAGATGCCCGTGCCCGCGAAGCCCCGAATTTTAGTAAATGATGCAATGCTCGCGTCCCCTGAACCACGATCCCTCGTAAATGACGCGATGCTCGCATCCCCGAGGCACCGATCTTCTTTAAATTACGTAAGAATCACGTCCCCGAAGCCACTAGCCTTACTACATTACGCCAGTCGCAATCCCGAGGCCACGATCCCCCGAGCAACAAACTATGCTCGGGCCCGTGTTGCCACGATCCCTCGCAAATCACGCAAGAATCGCGCCCCCGAAGCCACGATCCCTTTTTCAAAATTATACAATACTCGCGCCCTCGAAGACATGATCCCTTGCAAATTATACTATATTCGCATCCCCGAGGGTACGACCTTCGTACATTACACCTGCTCCGCGCTATCGAAGCCACAAGCATTCGTAGATTTCGCCGTGCTCGCGCACAGGATCCCTCGTAAATCACATCGTGTTCGCGTCCCCGAGGCCAAGATCTCTCGTGAATGACTCGATATTCGCATCCTAGAAACCACGGTCGTTCCTTTGAATTACGCAATGCTCGCGCCCGACGCGAATTTCGCGTCCCCGAGCCTACGATATCTTGTAAAGTATGCAGTAGTCGCGTCTCCGCGGCCACGATCGCTTCGTGAAGTATCCAATAGTCGCATCCCCGAAAAGCATCTGATTGTGAAGCCTCGCGACAAGCAACTGAGCAGCTAAGACAAGCCAGCGTGGCGCGCAATACCTCCGCACAGCTGTTTTCCAGCTGTCTGACGAGACGACATGTATATTCTCTCTGGGAAAGCCGCAATCGTCGCAGACGGCAGCGGCGTGCCCGCCGACTTCTCCGGCCCACGTCTGCCGAGGACGACCTCTCTTCCTAACGCCACGTGGTCTTTTGAGAATGCACGGGGGAAAGGGGCGGGGGCAGCTGGGGAGGAGGAGGGGGAGGAGAAGGAGGAGGGGGAGGAGGAGGAGGAGGAGCAGGAGGAGGAGGAGGAGGACGAGGACGAGGACGAGGACGAGGAGGAAGAGGAGGAGGAGGAGGCGAGGCGAGGCAAGCGAGGCGAGGCGAGCGCGCGATGTCGGTCCAGCGGGACCGGCCCTACGAGGGCAGCGCGGGGGGGCCGGGGCCCCTCAGGAGACGAGTCGGAGCCGGAGTCGGAGAGATGGACGCTGGACCCTGACCACCCAACGCGTCAAAACTCTGGCGCGCGCGCCACTATATAGGAGCAGCGTCATCATATCGCAAGATATGTGTGCATTCTAAGTGCATCGCGCCCAAAACAAACGCAACGACCCCAGGAAGAGGAAATGGACCCCCCCAATAAAAGAGCAGCGCTAACTTTCAGGACTTGTCGCCTTGGGTCCCTTTTTTGGTATGTGCCAGATATCTCTTGTGATTGGTGCTGACTTCCCCACAATAACAGCTATCAGCTTCCATATTGACGTTGTCATCTCAGAGATCCCTTGTTGTTGCCATCGTCGTAGCCATTTGGGCTCAAGATACGTCGGCGCCACACAGCAGTACATGTCGTCTAGACGCCAGTCGGTTGACCTTTCTGAGCAGCAGTACAAAGATGTTCTGGGCTTGCTTCCAATAACAAGTCGTTCCAAGAGCCAGTTCATACCCTACCCGTCCACTAACATGAAGGCTGCAGTTTCTTGGGATGCGGCAAACAGATACAGGCCAGCATTGACACGTGCATTTCAAATGTCCAGCGGGAAGGGCATCAACCAACAATCGTTCTACAAAGCTGCTCTGAAGTTTGTTTCCGATCATGGCCTGGACGTGGACCCTGGTAGCACAGAGAAGGGCGTATATAGGTTTGGCACAATACTCTCCCAGCTTGGGAACATGAAGAGCAAAGGTCGGAACATCCCTCGTCAGTGGCGGAAGGAATTTTGTATGCTTCTCGAGATGGTCGACTCCACGGAGAACGGTGAGAGCCTCGATGTGCTTCCACGTACCCCTGCAGCTATACACGACGCATCGGACGACGACGTGGTCTGTTTGGGGACACCACCTCGCAAGCTGGTGCCCTTGATTGACGTCGATGAGCCTCAGACCATCTTCAGCAAAGACAGCTTCATGGAGACGTCGAATCCCGAGCTCAAGAAGATTCTGGAGAAAGCCTTCGAGGACGACGAGGGCTCCGAACACACCTCCTCCCCATGTGCAGCGCCTAAGCGCAAACGCCTTTACTCCAAGAGTGTCGACCCGAACTTCGCGAAGATGATCGGGGATGTCCCGACGGATGACCTGAAGAAACTCGTCGGGGAGCCAACTCACAACGTTTGCCCTGCGAGTTTCGCAAAGCTGAACCGTGAGCTGAAGGCAGACCTCAACTCCAAGCGCGGCAAGGGCAAGGGCAAGAACAAGGCCAAGGCCAAGAACAAGGCCAAGGCCAAGGCCGGCAGGACCTCGAAGGACAAGCAGGGTGACGAGAAGATATCGTTTCAGACCTGGGTGAAACGCCAGCACAGCGCAGTCTATGACAGAGAAAAAAAATAGGCATGCGTGACCTCGGCCTCAGCAAGGAAGCAGCCACGATGAGAGCTCAGGAGCATGCACGTGCGAAGGCACACGAGTGCAGGAAGCTCAGGGACGAGAAAAAAATGCCAGATTTTGTGGAGTACTAGTTGTGTGCGCCTCTGCTGGTCTCTGCTGGCCAGCCTTAGTTTTTCAGGCCGACGGCTTTTGCACGGGGTTCGCACTGGCCATACAGCACACATCAGCATCGACATCACCAACATCATCATCAGCATCATCATCGGCATGATCACCGTTACCAGGAGGAGGGAGGAGGGAGGATGGAGAAGGGAGGAGGGAGGAGGAGGAGGGAGGAAGAGGAGGAGGAGGAGGAAGAGGAGGAGGAGGAGGAGGAGGAGGTCATGACCACCCTCATCCTCGTCGCCACTCTGCCTCTCACTTCTTACTGGCTGGCGTTCCTTCGTTCCTGGAAGAGATTGAGGGGCCCCGATCTGCTAAATGAGAGCGACGGCGGCGACGATATATGTCGACTAGCTCTTTCACTCCATGGGCAACTCAAGGGGTCTAAGCATCTCGATCGGATGAGTCGAGACTGGGTTCGAGGCAAATTTGGGCAGGTCTCCTCCCTCCCCAAGGCCCCTTCTCCCCCCGTGATATCCAGCCGCATGGCCGCAAGTCGAACCTAGGTCACCCAGCGCGCCGTCCCTTCTTGTATGAATGGAGTCCTGTATCTGACTCCCTCCTTTATCTGCCGTTGGGCCGTCTAGTTTCGCAAGTTCAGTGGAGGTCGCCATGTTTCAAGGATGTCTCGAGCGAGAGCCCCATGTTGAACAGAAGACGTCTTAAAGCAGCTCGTCCGACATCCCATTTTTTCTGAGGATGTCTCGAGCGGGAGCCTCATGTTTTAAACAGATGCGGACGAACGGCACGACACATGCCACGGCCTGGTCTTATTCACATTGCTGTTCTCTCGACTCCAACTCCCTGCCCTCCTCCTCCTCCTCCTCCACCTCCTCCTCTTCCTTTCCGCAGCCGTTTTGGCGCGATCCGGGCATGACTGACACACGCGCACCGATTCACGCGTGAGGTCCTTGCAGACATTCCTGCGACGATGGCGCAGCAGGAGTACGCGCCGTTCCAAGGCGCTGCCTTTCGTCTCGGGGCAACTGGGCAAGTGGCGCGACAGGAGCAGGCTCTTAAACGCCCTCGTCCCGACCCAACTCAAGAAAGTCCGCTATCCATTTGGAGAATGGGGCCAACAGGCCCTGATCAAAGCGTGCCTTCCCTCAGTCGTGCTCTCTATCTTCCCCTCGGTCGCAGGGGGGTTCTCGGAGGACGATGCGCTTGCCACCGCCTATGCAGGCGGTGGCAAGCGCATGTGGCGCAGGAGGGGGGACTGGTGATGGCGTCTGGTCGGCAAGCCTTTTCTCCGTCTCCGTCTCCTTCCTCCTCGCGCGTCGTGTCTTCTTGTTAGTGTTCCTCTCTGTCTTTCCTCCAACGGTGCCGACTTATGCTGAGACCATTCGCAGTCTCGTGGAAGCCGTCTCTACTATCGGGGAGAACCTCATTTCCTTCCCCCCTCGCGTTCTTGTTTCGTTTTGCCGCTTTCCTAATAGGACGCTGGGCCTCATCCCGCTGCGCCAGTCTTGGTCGAGGACAGCCCGCCACCTGTCGCCGACGGTGAGACTGACGGCATCGAAGAGGTCCTACACACACTCGATGCGATTGGCACTGTGGTATCGACGTGGAACATCACAGAGACCAAGTACAACCGCGCGCTAGTGCTCGCGATCGATGAGTTCGGGATGAAAGTAGCCTCGATCAAGAGCATGTATGAGAGCACCGATATCGGACACAATGTTGACGTGGCGGGCTTGAAGACCACCGTGGGCACACTGTTCGCAGAATACGAGGAAATCAACAACCTTGTCAAGAACTTCAACGCGCCGAGGCGCTCCATCAAGCGGCAAGCGAGTGACCCCATCGAGAAATTGCAGGCTCAGTCGCAGGCGCCCGAGGACCCGTCGAGCTTGCCGATCGCGGACGGTTCTGAGCTGGCGGCTGCGAGTGTTGGCGAGGCATTCCTGCCTGGCTACCACGACTCGCAATTTCCGTAGGCTCCCTCAGAGCCAGCGCACACTCTGCTCGTGAGAAGCTGTTCTGTATTTGGCGAGGCGGTAGGGGTGCCGCTTGCCTCTACCCGTTCATACACGACCATTCAACCATACCTCATCCTCCTGCCCCTCCTCCTCCACCGTTCGGGGATTCTTGCTGAGTCCAGCGGTGCACCTGAGTGTTCGTCAACTCTTGAAAATTCCAGCGGTGGTCTCAGGCGATATCGGGAACTCTTGGTAATTCCAGTGGCTCTTGGATGTTCGGGAACTCTTGGTAATTCTAGTGGTGCTCGTAGGCTCTCGAATGGACACAGTAACCTATGGTAACCCTCATGATGCTTCAGGCGCACTTGCTACTCACCCTAACCCCACTTAGAACAGAAACCCTCCAAGACGGCTTGCCAAACTGGTCTGGTCCATCATCCTCCTCATCATCTCCTCCTCCTCCTCCTTTTCCTCGCACGTAGCTCCAATGAGTTCTTCATAGCTTTAATGGGGCAGCAGGGGCGCAGCCTCACAAGTATGGAAATGAGAGTAGGCTGGAGAGTAGATCCCAGGGTAAGAAACAGCATGGGCGTACTCCTATGTTATTGAAAGGTATTGAGGACCCTGGTGGTTTCCATAAATGCGGCGTTGGCTCCCCGCGAATGCCCAACGAATCTCACGCAAGCCCGTGAACCCCTCGAGTCCCCGAGGCCCCGCCGACTCCGTCACCGGGGGCCCCTGGGGGCTTCTGGGGGCCTCTGGGGGCCCCCTTGGGGCCCCGAGGGCCCCCAAAAAGCTGGAAAAAGCCGGAAAAAAACGGAATTCTGCCGATTATGTTTTTCGTTTTGCCGGAATTCTGTTTTTTGCCAAACCACTGGCGTGCGCAATGCAAACATCGAAAAACAGAATTATGTTTTTCCCGAAAACAAAAAAAATATTCCGGCGAAGGACCCAACCATGTGCAGCTGTGTGTAACGCAGGTGTGGGTATCGTCCTCGGTGAACCTCCCTCTGGGGCCACGACGCGTGTGACGGGGGTGCCAAAATTGGCACGGGTACGCCATGCGGACGCTGCCACCGGAACCGTCGTTGCAGCCCCATTTAAGGCCACGAAACGTGTGCGGGGTGCGCGGAAATGCAGGGTGGAACCACGTGCGGGCGCTGCCACCAGGGCCTTTGGTGGCCGCGAAACGTGGAAACGGTGTGCCGAAATGGAGAGGGAACTGCATGCGGAACCTGCCACTGGGGCCCTGAGTGGAACACTCCATGGGGCCACGAAACGTGTGAGGGGTGCGCCGACATGGAGGGGGGACTGCATGCGGACCTGCCACGGGGGCCTTGGGTGGAGCACCCTATGGGGCCGCGGAACGTGCGAGAGGTGCGCGGAGATGGAGGTGGAACTGCATGCGGACCCTGCCACTGGGGCCTTCGGCGGAGCACCCTATAGGGCCACGAAACGTGTGGTGAGGGGTGCGAAGAAATGGGGATGGAACTGCCTGCGGACCATGCCACTGGGGCCTTCCGCGGAGCACCCTATGGGGCCACGAAACGTGTGAGAGGTGCGCGGCGGAACACCCAATGGGGCCACGAAACGTGTGAGGGGTGCGCCGAAATGGAAGTGGAACTGCATGCGGGCCCTGCCCCTGGGGCCTTCGGTGGAGAACCCTATGGGACCACGAAACGTGTGACTGGTGCGCCGAAATGGAGGTGGAACTGCATGCGGACCCTGCCGCTGGGGCCTTCGGCGGAGCTCCCTATGGGACCACGAAACGTGTGATGGGGTGCGCCGAAATGGAGGTGGAACTGCATGCGGACCCTGCCACTGAGGCCTTCGGCGGAGCACCCTATGGGGCCACGAAACGTGTGAGGGGTGCGCCGAAATGGAGGTGGAACTGCATGCGGACCCTGCCACTGGGGCCTTCGGTGGAGCACCTTATGGGACCACGAAACGTGTGAGGGGTGCGCCGAAATGGAGGTGGAACTGCATGCGGACCCTGCCGCTGGGGCCTTCGGCGGAGCACCCTATGGGGCCACGAAACGTGTGAGGGGTGCGCCGAAATGGAGGTGGAACTGCATGCGGACCCTGCCACTGGGGCCTTCGGTGGAGCACCCTATGGGGCCACGAAACGTGTGAGGGGTGCGCCGAAATGGAGGTGGAACTGCATGCGGACCCTGCCACTGGGGCCTTCGGTGGAGCTCCCTATGGGGCCACGAAACGTGTGAGGGGTGCGCCGAAATGGAGGTGGAACTGCATGCGGACCCTGCCACTGGGGCCTTCGGTGGAGCACCCTATGGGGCCACGAAACGTGTGAGGGGTGCGCCGAAATGGAGGTGGAACTGCGATGCTGGACGCCACCCCTGCCACTGGGGCCTTCGGCGGAGCACCCTATGGGGCCACGAAACGTGTGAGGGGTGCGCCGAAATGGAGGTGGAACTGCATGCGGACCCTGCCACTGGGGCTTTCGGTGGAGCTCCCTATGGGACCACGAAACGTGTGAGGGGTGCGCCGAAATGGAGGTGGAACTGCATGCGGACCCTGCCGCGGGGGCCTTCGGTGGAGCTCCCTATGGAGCCACGAAGCGCTGTAATGGGTGGGTGAAACGCAGGGAGGAGGGAGGAGAGGGAGGAGTAGGGAGGAGGAGGGGATGGTGGGAGGAGGGAGGAGGAGGGGGAGAAGGAGGAGAGGAGGAGGAGAAGGACGCGGGGCACCGTCTCTTCAAAACGAGGACCCAACACCACAGGATGGTTGGGAAAAACAGAATCGGCAGAATTCTGGTTTTTTCTGCTTTTCCTGGGCCGTAGTTTGTTGTGGCTCAAGCAATTGAGCCAGCCCGAGAGATCGGGAGCCAGGGAGCCAGCCCGAGAGACCAGGAGCCAGCCCGAGAGATCGACCGATGGCCCCCAAGAAGGCGAAGGGCAAGGCGGCTCCCATGGCCGAGCTAGAAGTCCCCGAGGTCGACCAGAGCGACTTGCAGTCGGCGAAGAAGATGTTACAGGACGCGGCTGAGTTGAAACGGCAGCGTAGCAACATGAAGTACTACTTGGAGGGCAAAGGGATGACCGACGCCTACAACTCCCTGGGGAAGGCCGAGAAGATGGCCTACCTCGAGAAGCATCTTGGCAGCAGGATCGCAGCTGGCACCGTCAAGCCCACCGTCAAGACCACCGTCAAGAACAGCAAACTCATTGAGGTCGGCACGGTCGGTACGGCGGCGTTCCAGTGGATGAACAAGCGGCAGATGGTGAACTTGTGGGGCGAGGAGAAGACCAATGCGAAGATCGAGTCAGGAGCCCAGGCTGTCAAATGCACGCTGCCAAAACCCCAGGGCCCAGTCGTTCGAACTCCCCGAATACCCCGAATCGTTCGGTCGTTCGGATTCGACACCCCCGAATCGTTCGAAACCTCGAATCGTTCGATCGTTCGGTTCTTAATGGCAGCGGCCTTTGACATGCCTCGCGCGGAAAGCTCGAGGAGCAGCCCGACGAAATGACTGGCGAGAAGGGAGAGTGGCTCACGGAATACAAAATCTGGACCCAAGTCGGGGGCCAAGAACGAGATTATCGCGAACAGGCAGGAGATCGACGGCTCAGAGAACCTCGAAGGTGATGCGGCGGCTGCTGCACTCGCCAACCTGGTCGAGTCAGCGGACGTCCTCGCACCTGGTTCGTTGACCTCGGGGGCTGCGAGTTCTGGGGCTGCGGGTTCGGAGGCTGCGGCAGTGAAGAAGGAGGACCCAGATGCGCCTCAGGAGCTGCCCAACCAGAAGACCCTGGACAACCTGAAGAGGGACGCCAACAAAATCTTGGTGAACGTCGGGCAGACGGTCACCTCGCTAAAGACAATGTTCGAGGATACGGCCAACGGGAAGTACACCCAGGACCTCCACAACGACATCAAATCAGCGATTCCGAAGATGGCGAGCATCTACAAGAAAATAGAGAATGTGATCACTAAGAAGATCAATGACGAGGCCCTGCTGCTGACCATTGCGAAGAGCATCGACGATCAGTTCACTGTGTACAACGAGCTGAAGGAGGCCACGGATCGTCTGGTCCCACCCAAGCCGAAGAAGTCGAAGAGGTCGAAGGACGCTGCCAAGGGAGATGAGGATTGAGCAGGCACGTGTGCCTCACTATCCTTGCACCTGAACGGTGCTCTTTTTCACGACCGAGTGCCGTCGGTCGAGCTCGGATCGGGGAAATGCGAGCGGAAAAAATGAAAACGAAAGCCCCAACAAAGGTTCCAAGGAGCCCAAAGGTTCCAATAAAATAGGCGTGTGAACAACTTAAGGTTCCAAGGAGCCCAAACAAAAGCCCCCACCCGTTAAAAAGAAAGCAAACCCCCAAACAAACGACGCCTTTCAACTGATCCCCAAGGGACTTCATGAGAGCCTCATGGTAACATCTTGGTTTCCAAATGGGGAATTCGTGGGAACGGTTTAAAGGCCTTATGGGATCATGCAGAAAATAATGTCTTAAGGACCCTCTAGCCGTATTGGACTGTCTGGGGGGCTCTTGCAAAGGGTGCTGGCGTGGGGACTCGTGGGGAATCCTTGGAGGCCAACGCCACCACTACATCATCGCATCAACACGTGTGCACTCCAGGAACCTAGGCCGGATCCTTAGCCGTTTTGGCTCATGCACCGTGCCAAGCTCCATATCAGATCCGTCGTATCGGGCTTCATGTTGTCTCGCACTCAATGATCATTCACATGGTGTTATTATTAGTGTTTCGTTTGGCTGTTTGCGTGCACCTCACATCGATGGGAAAACGTGGCATTCGTGAGAGGGTGATTGAAGAGGCCGCTGGGACATCACATCAGAGGCCACCTCTGGGAAAGCCTGATCGTCGAGGAGGCGTGCGGCAGCGAACGTCGGGAGCAGTGCCAGCCATCGGCAGTGGTCCCGCATCGCTGGGCCATGGCGTTCGGCAGAGGGATGCCAATCAAGCCAGCGAGCTGCGCCGAGGCCCAACGCCGCTGACAGATTCTTTGCGGCGCGACTGGGCCAGAGGGACGC